GTTCTCCCTTCTTCTCCCCGCCCTCTTTGGAGAGCAGACTGCGGAGGTGGGGAGGGGGTGCTGCGACCCGCTTTCCTATGTCTCCCCGCCGGGGTCGCGTGGGGCTTTCACTTCCCAAGCTCCCGCATCTCTGGGTTCCTGTTTAGGGTGTGCGCCTGCAAAAGCGGTAACGAGTGGTTGCTCAATAACTCTCCGGCTCACTTATAGAGTTGGCTTCGGGCGGCACTTTCTGCAGAGTAAACCTTCCTCTCTCCGCCTTGAGAAGCTTGTGTATGACCTTTGTTGCCGTTCTGCTTCTCTCCAAGACGAGGGCTGAGTGGTTTCATCCTTGTCTTCGCCTACCAGGCCTCTGTCCTGTCCTTCCTGAGCAGTTCTGGCTCCCTGTCCCCCTTCTCTTTCTTTCTCCCCCCCCCCCTTTCCGCAGTGTCAAACATAAACACCTGCTGCCGCCAGAGTAGTTCTCCTTTCTCTTCTGGAGTTTAGGCTTTGCTGAGTTTTGCATTTCAAAGAAAGGTTGGCGTCCTCTTGCCCCAGTTACTGCAAGGCTGTTTGGTACTTTCCCCCCCATCTTCTGAGGGTGCCATTTTTTTTAAAAAATCCTCATCTACCTTTGTTTTTATTTGGGTGAGATGAAAGTGACAGTTTGTTTTGGCAAGACGGGGATTGTGGTTCCCTGTAAAGATGGACAAATCCGGGTTAGAGATTTAACCCACCAGGCTCTCCAGAGATACTTAAGAACCAAAGAAAAGGTAAGCATCGACTTCTGCTGTAGCACACTGTGGGCAAAGTCACCTGTTACAGTTCGTTGTGCAGGGTTGATTAGCTGCATTTTCCCATTGCATGCATAGGTATGCTGAAGGAGAAGATCTATGTTGAATTTTTTATGCAGAGGTTGCTGATATCAGAAATGGCACTACATAAGTTGGGATTGTGATACTTACTTCATTTTTCCTGGCCAAATGTTGTAGGTGTGATACTGATATATGTGATGGTTTTCATACGTGATGGTTGATGCACCTTTAAATCTTAGTATTTGATGCAAATAGGTGCATGGTCAGACTTGGATATCCAGATCTCATTAGTTCTGTGTGTGGTACTGCCCAATCATTAGTGGCTACTGGAACTCAAAAGCAAGAGACTAGAGAAATACTTTGAAGAACTCTGGCATATTTGTATGAATAACTAAAATTGGGAGATTGGAGGTGGAGCATTATTATATCACCCAGTGTCTCATTTAATGTCATTGTTGACTAGTTACCAGAAATGGATTAAACTGGAATGATATTCTGTATGACAGACCAAAGATCTGCATTAATGTAGTTATACCATTTCCCAGAATCCCAAGAGCATTCTTTAAGAACATCCTCTGGTGAGTGATCACTGCCGTGCCTACAACTTTCAGGGCCTCTTTTCCTAATCTGGTGTCTTCTTAAATAATGGATTGTAATTCCTTGTGCCTCTCAGTGATTGGAGAAAACCAAACTAGAAGAATCAGCCATTCCAGAGTTTTCACACTACTGTGTCTGGCAATCTCTAAAAATGTATGAAGATGGGGCTAAACTTTTATGGTTGTGCTCTTTGTGTTTTTATGTTACAAGCTGAACAGTGTCAACTCTCCTGTTTTCCTCCTGTCACTATAACGTCCACAGATGGCAGAATTGTTGCCCCTAGTTCCACCATAATTTTTATTGACATCCGGATCCTGTTCTGTTCCTATTATTTTAGTTATCTATTTATTTATTATCAAACTTGTATGCTGCCCATCTCCCCCAATGGGTGACTCGGGGCGGCTCACAATAATAATTATTCATAGCATGCTTAGCATCTGCCCTCCTGGTGAGTTGAATCTGCAATAAGGCTGTATAATGCTTTAGCTTCAAAGGCAAAGGGAGCTTCAACACATTGGATTGCTTACATAGCAGCTGTCTCTAACTCATTAAAGCAGCTGTGTCTTTTCCTGAAATCATGAGGCTGTTCTCGGCAGCTACAGGAAAAAGATGCGATTTAGGGTACTGCAGATAGGGGCTGTGAGTGTGCCCCTGCATGTTCCAAAGCACCTTTTTGCCTTTGAATCTGAAGTCCTGTGTAGTCATTGTCTATGAGTCCCCAAATTTCCAGCCAGCGTGGCTATCAGAGCCACAGTATTATGGATTACTACTTTTGATAAATGAAGAGTGATAGTATAGTGACAATTGCTTCTTTTTTAATGTAGAAAATTCTGTTTATTTTCTCAGTGACCTATCTGAGCTATTTTAAATAAGAGACAGAATGAAAATGAAGTGATAAAGTGGGCTGGTAGTCTGGAATTACAGTAGTTGTAACACATAAATCTGGAATCTGTCCCATGATTCCTGTGGTACAGCATACAAAAGAACACTTGTTAATATGTTATCAGTATGAACAAATCCTCTTCAAAGACTTGATATTAAAGTGAATGTATTTGTGGTAGTTTGTCCTTACCAGACTGTCACCAGTGTATAATTTCAGCATGCAAATTCTATCTATGTAAAATGTAAATCAGGTACTCTCAGAGTGTTTATTTTTACTGCTTTGTAAACATCATGCAACTTAGACACCTGTGTATGTGCCATACCATCAATTTAGAATTGAGCTGATTGCAGGCACATTTTCTTCCTGATGATGATTTTATCCAGAAGATTCCGTATACATGGAATGCATTGAGAAAGAACCTAGGAAAAACTCCCAAGTTAGCATTTCTTGGCACCTTATGCTTATTTTGCCACAAATATATGAAATGTTTATATACAGAACAACATATTGAATTTGTTCCAATATAGCAATAATCCACAATGACTTTGTGTCCTGATTAATGCTACTTTATTGTTCCTTCTTGGCTTTTCTTGTGAGGATAAAGATCTAAAAACTTCTTCATAATTTAGTTCAGCATTACAACTGAATTGGAATTCATGGCTTACTGCTTTTTTCTTGGGCCTGGGTTTCCTCTTAGTTTGTTAGGAGAGATACAAGGAGAGGTATGGTTGGAATATAACTCGTAAATCAGACATGCATGACTTGAAGCTCTAGAGTAATATGCAATCCTCAAATGTTCAGCCTGTTCAGACCTCCAAAAGTGAGTCAAATTGTAGTTTTTAATGTGAAAGATAGGGAAATTAGTAAATATTTTATTGGTGAGTGATCATATTAACTGCATTTAATATTAAGTACAGATGTTCATGAAATCAAGTTAGATTCAGTTTTTGTTTTGACTTTACCCTACTTTGCTGCTCAAAGATCAAGTATGTTTCTCTACAGAGAAAAAAAAATTGAGCACCTCTACTCTAAACCTACTGTAGATAATGCTTCTTGATTCTTTAACTCTTCTATTGACAAAGCCAATGAAACTTGCCATTGTCCTCTGGAATGTGGCTTTTGACATAGCGTACAAGGCCCGATGTGGTCCTTGTGTTGCTGGAAGTTGTACATCTGTATTCTACTTCTGTAGACTTTAGGTACTTGCCTTATGATTCTAATATCAGTACATTAGAGTGTTGAATGAACAAGTGTTGAAGCAATAGAAGGCTGGAAAGTCTTGCATAATCTTGTATTTCTGTGAAATTTGTAGCTCTCCAGGAGACTTGTTTATTGCTCAGCTACATCAGATATTATCAAATTCAGTATACTTTTTTTTCCTGCAAATTATCTGTAAAAATTAAAAAAAAAGTATTGGAGTTATGGATGGGGGATGTTTTGTGGAGATAATTAAATTTTACTCTTGAGCAGTGTTTTCAGAGAGGAAAAATGAAGACTTGCTTCTTCTGCCTTTGATAAATGTTTTCAGTTATTAGTACATAGTATCTGAAGTGCCTAATTATTTATCTCAAGCCTGAATTGACACTAGTAATTACTTCATGGTAAAGCAAATATTCAGATGATTCAGTTTATTTCATAAGGAAGTTACAGAATTTGAAAGAAACATTCCTCAGTTTGTTAGGTCCCATTTATAATGTACAAGGTTTTTCCATAAACACTCAGTTTAGTTCTGTACTCACAGGTTGATCTTTTTCTTGTATCTTCTGTGAGCAGAAATTTTGAAACAGACATTTAATACTTAGAAGAGACCCCATAACATTTAAAAGAGACATGAGAAAATAAATTGGGATCTGTACTCTAACAGAAGAGTTCTTTATTGGTGTGACAGATCTACTTCTAAAAACAGTGTCACTTGGCTCTGCTGCATTGAAACAAGGTGTGCCTCTGGTTAAGATCCTTGTTATATGAATCTATTTATAGATAAAAGTTGGGGAAAGTGTACTCTGGAGCCTGTTACACAACCCAGTTGACCAAATCAGCCGCTTCCCTGGTTCATACCCAGAGAAGTCTCCTATACAACATCATTAATGCTGACAACTTTATAAAGGTTTTTGCATAAAGATAGCGATGCTGACAATTCATATTTAGCTGTAACTTCGTTGCTGTTTCAGAGAGTGCACCTGAAGTAGAAAGAATATTAAACTTCTGTTTAAAATGCAAGCTTTTCAGGTAGATGGAGAGAAGCATATAATTTGGAGTACATGGTTCTATCGAAGAAAGCTGGTGAAGGATTCCAGGATTATTTCCATTTATATCCTGCCTTTCAAGAAACAATAGGAAACATGAGGAATCCCCTTTCCCTGTTATTTTAAAATAAGGTTAAAATCCAATTAAAAAGAACTAAAAATATTATACATCAGAAGATAATCAGTGTTACCTGTGGAGAGTTAGTTTATTGAGGTCAGTGAGTGGCACCACTTCTAAGATCTATTTGGCAAAGGTTTTCTAAAATAGCCACAATTTTGTTAAAACTCTATCAAGCATGGAGAAATTGCACATATTGGTTATGTGTGGTCCGCCACACAACATACGCTACATTCTTAAAACAGATAAAGGATTCAGGTCTTCAGAGCTTGCAGAAAAGTATGCATTTCTGTGAGCATAAAACAGCTCATTCAGATTTTCCAAGCTCAGAACAAAACAACCCATGTTCCAAATTTTGGGGGAAAGTGAAACATTATTACAGATTCTTTCATGAGTTCTGACATTCCTCAATTTGGCAGGTTATTTTTTTTTTTTTTTTAAGTCTTCCAAGTTCTGGAGACATGAAGAGTGCATTAGCCAATAAAATAGCAGGCACGGATTCCATTTCTGCTGATTGGCTGGAAGTTTTTGTGGGGTGGCCAGATGGAAATACATGAGAGCCAGTTAAGTACATTTCCAGAAAGAGAGAAAACAATTTTGGGCATAACAAAAGGACTACAGACTAGAGATTAAGCTCCTTTAAAGCAATAAATAACTAAATAAATAAATAAATGCTTCAAAGAAACCTGCTTAAGAGATAATGTAATGTAACGATCAGAAAGTTTTCAGTGTTTTGCAGATGAGTTTAATAACAAGGGTTGGACTTAAAAAAAAAATGTTTGTAAAAGAATGTGGCTTCTTTGCCATGACTGATTTTTTTTTTTAAAGACCTTGTCTCTGATCTCTAATCTAACACAATCAGAAATTTGTATTCATGATTTAGGGTTTTCTTTTATTTAAAGGAATGAGGATTTTGCTACAACCTGTAATTCAATTAGAGAGGGTTCCTGCATGCAACCAAGTTAATACTTCATGTCTGTAATTTATAACTGATTTTGCAAGCGGTTAAAGAAAACTAAGGTGATTAGCAGTAGTTAACGTGGATTTTCATAAATCAGTGCCAAAGCAACCAATGGATTTTGGGGCAGACAACTGGTTTTTCATTGCAAATGCA